ATTTCTTATAATGAGTACTTCAGCCTCTTTTTACATCTGGGCCAGCCTTCCTACGCAATCACCTCTGGTGGTGGACCATCACCAAGCACCTATCGTCCAGCCTTCCTTTCTTACCCCTAGGTCCAGATGTAACTGTGACGATGGATGTGTTGCTGCTTGGATGGGGGGCCTCTCTTCCTCCACTCTATGCCTCTGGGGTCTGGGACACCACCTTTCAAGACAAACACATCAATAGGTTAGAGCTTCCAAGCGGTGTTCAACGTTCTTCGCCACTTCTGACAACACCTACCAGGTGGTTCCGTTCCAGTCCAGAGAGACAAATCCACTGCATTGGCATAAATCAACTGCCAGGGTGGCACTTGCTCTCCTCAACTCTGTGCCTTTCTGTGGCAGCTCTTCATGTGGATGAACAATCAAGGAATCACCCTCCAAGCCGTCCACATAGCGAGAACCAGCAACAGCATAGTAGATGCACGCTCTCAGGGCACTGTCTGACCAACAGGGTGGATTCTTCACCCGATCTGGCTGGTCAGCCAGATTTTTGCGGAGATCGCGAGTCCCCATATCGATCTCTTCGCTTCTGCCGACAAAACCCATATCCCAAAGTTCTGCTCCAGGTTGCCTCACCTACAGGCACGGGCGACAGGTGCCCTACAGATTGACTCGTCGGGCCTTCTGGTCGATACGGCCTCATTGTTGGTGGGGTTCTTCAGCAGTTCATATAGGCTCTTGACTTGTACTGGCGGTAGTACCCCAAGAGGCCAAGTAAGTTGCGTAGCTCACCCACGGTTCCGGGTTTCCTGTCCCATACTGAATTGACCACTGCAATATCAGATGGATCCATCATGTGTTCTTCACTGGAAATGATGTGTCCCAGATAGCTTGGATCGTTTCTGATTTAACTCCTGATAATCAATGCAAAGATGAAGAGACCCTGGGAGGAGGAAGGCGACTCTGACTTTTTGATTCCTCCAAGCTTCACAATATCTCGAAGGTATAACTTCACATCTCGGTACAATGGTGGTGGAACTGCCATGTAGGACTTCTATGCAGGACAATCATCCTTCATCTACAAAAATACATCTT